CCGCGCGGGAGCCACCCCCCCCCCCCGAGCCCAGCCTCCCTGCGCACACGGCATCGGCGCAGACACGCAGCGGCTACGCTCAGAGCAGAAGCGTTTGCTCGGATGCCAGGCTGAGCATCCCAGCGCCGAGACACACGAGCCGCTGCAAGAGCACAAGCGCGATGCACCTGAGCTACGAGGCCACCCCTTCTCCGCATCTCACCAACAGCAAAGAGCAAAAATAACCCTGAAAGTCCAAATCTCTCTTCTACCAGCACTCCCCCGTGGCTTGGGGGATCCCGCATGCACTGGGGAACCCTCCAACAGATTTCAGCAGGGTCCTCTCGCAAGCAGGACACAGGGATGCTACTCTAGGGATGCTGGGCTGGGTAGCGGGACAGCATCTGGCCGCAGCCTCGGCACCAAGCGGGACCCCAAGACCACCACAGCACAGGCACTGTCCCCATGGCAGGCTCTGTTTCGGGGCATTTCCCCGCTTTTCAGGCAGTTTAAGAGCCAGCGTGGTTTCGGGCAGCGGCAGCAGCGTTTCTGCTAGCGAGGCTGCACACAGCTCACCGTGGGCGCTGCTTTGGGCTCAGCCACGTCTCCTTTATAACTTGGGTTTTCCTGAAAAGTTAAAGAGGGAGATGAAAGACAGCTATCAGCCCTCCCCGCTCGGTCCCTTCCAAAAACCCTGAGTGTGGGGCGTTCTCTCTATTCCTGCCTTCCTCCATCACATCCTAGAGAGAGGAAATCTGCCCAGGTAGGGCTGGAGGACATGACCTGGACCCACAGCGTTCCGTCCCCAAGGAGGGGGACAGAGTGAGCCCTGGGGAGCTGTCCCAGGACTCAGCATTGCAGCAAGATGAGCTCTTGCTGTAAATCCCTTGAGGCCCCAGGCTGAGGTCTCGGTGAGCAACCCAAGCCCAGCAGGACCAGCCAGGGCTGGGGATCATCCTGTGGATCTTCTTCCCTCTGCAGAAGATGTCACCCGAGTGTCTCTGGGTTTAAAGCAGCCATTTTGGAGCCCCAGAATTTGCTGGTTTCCATCGTGCAGTTGTGGAAGGGGCTCTGGGGCTGCCTTTGGGTGTCTTCTCCAGCTACGGAGCACCTTTGGCATGTGTTGCACCAAGACCCCCCCAATCCCTGCTCCCCTGGCAGCAGTGTGACACTGTCCCTCCCCTGGTTGTGGCAGCTAGTTAGTGTCACATAAACCACATTAAGTGCGGAAACCTTTTTGTGCCTCTATCAGGAGGCCTTGAGCTGGCCTGAAATGGGAGCAAAAAAAAAATTGGGCAGACGGTGTTTCCAGGCCCAGGTTTTCCCCACATCCTCCCCAGGCAAGGACAGCCCGGGATGCTGCTGTGGCCCAGAGGATGAGGATGGGCAAAACCTGCTCGGCGGGAGTAAAACACAGCAGGATGAATTATCTCCTGCTTCCATCTTACCAGCAGATTGTGCTGGTACAGGCTTGGCCCAGAGCGAACAAATAGAGGAAAATCCTGCCCCCCCCGCTCAAGCCACCCTGGGCCAGAAGAGGAGGGAGCCGGGAACAGCAACACCGGCAAGCGAACCCCTGCACCGTGGGGTGGGGGGTATCGGGGGGGAAAGTTTAAGCCCAGAAAATGATGGTGATGCTCACAGCCCCGGTGCTGATGACTCCTGCGAGCAAGGAGGAGTTGCCCAGGGCAGGACAGCTCCGAAAGCAAACCGGAGCGGGGCCAGAGACAACCGCAGGCATCACTGTGCTAAGGGTGGGTGGGCACTGCCTGCACACGGGGTGGTACCCACGTTCCGAGGACAGGGCAGGTCTCTGCATCCTTCTGCTCACCCCCTTACCTCTGCTGCCAGGTAGTTGCCCGTGGCGAGGTGTTTGAAGCGGTACAAGCCATTCCAGTGCCCGGCTCCCCCTCGGCACGGGTCGTGATGGACCACCTGGGAGAAGCAGAGGAGAGCTCAGCTGGAGGTGCGTGGGGCTGCAGGGAACCGGGATGGCATTCTCGCCCTTCTCCGGGCAAAGATACCGGTGATCAGAGCCCCATCCTATCTCAAAGGTGGTTGTGGGCAAATATAACAGGATGCCGAGCTCAGACAGGCACCAGCGCCCATCCATCAGCAGCGATGCTCCCAGCGCTCTCATGGAGCTCGAGCCTTGTGCTGGCTTTCACCAGGGCAGGCAGGTGACCAGAGATGGAAACGTATAGAAACACCCACTGCTTCCAGCATCTCACCCCCTGGTGAAAGCACAGCGGACCCACGGAGGTACCCGTGAGCCCACGGACACCCGCTCCGTCCCCTCCCCACTCACCTCCACCTCCCACAGGGCGTTGGAGCTGGTGGCCGAGGTGGCCGACTGCCTCAGGGTGGTGCGGAGGAAGACGTGCAGCTTGCCTTTGTACTCGTCGCAGGTGAGGAACTTCTCCTGCTCGGCGTGGAAGAGCCTCACCACGTCCCCCTGGCAGCGGGACACAGTGGTGAGACCCAGGGATGGGGCTCTGCTATGCTCCTGTGACCCCCCCACCCTGCAAGGGGCTGGGATCCCCCCCGGTACGGGGTCTAGAGCAGGTCCTGCGGCACAGCATGGCCACAAGAGCCTGGGCATCACGGGTCATCATCAGCTTTTTTCCAGTTCTACTTCCCTGAGCTGTGCTAAAACCCACCTCTAGCAGCACAAATGTTCCCTAAAACCAGGGAGGGCACTTCGCACAGGCACGGGACACGCTGCACCCCACAATGCCCTCGGTCCCTTCACTCCTGCAAATCAATTCTCTCCGCTCCCCCTTCCCAGTCTGTAAAATGGGCGCAAACTCACCATTTTACACCACTGGAGCGGGCAGAGGCTCTGCTCCCCAATGTGTTTAAGGCATTAACGCCCCCGGGGGAGGAGGATGCGATGGATGCGGGAAGCGGAGGATAAGTGCAGCGCCTGGGGACGAGGGGCTGTAAGATCATAACAATCAATATCCATCCAGCTGCTTCCTGGAGGACCTGGGCCCTGAACAATAGCTCTGCGGGGAAAGTTCCTTTCCCAGGCAACAGCCAGCCCTGCTGCAAGGCTAAACAGCCAAAAATTGTCCTCGCAGCTAGAAGCTGCTGCTGGCACTACGTGTGCCTCGCATTGTCCTCGAGAGCCAATTTAATACAATACGGCGGAGGGTAATTTCATGCCCCCCCTGGGTACCTGCTGCCAAAAGATACTAAAATATCCAACTCTAGCTTGCTGCTAAGTTCTCCAATTGATTCATTCTCCCAGAAATCACGGTCCTCAAGGCAGGATCTTTTTCCTCTGCCCCTGTTCACACATCCTGCCCCAACACGGGACCAGGGCTGGGTCCCCAGAGCCCACAGTGTCCCGGGTGGCCGGTGGCGCCCGAACCTCCTTCCTTACCCCTTTGAGCACTTCCTCCATGTGGTCACAGAACTGCATGAAAAGGTTGATTTTCCAGCTGGTGTTACAATTGACCGAGTTCACCTAAGGAGCAAGACAGCAAGGTCATGATTCCCAAGACAAGGAAGAAAAAAAGGAAGAAAAAGGAAAAAAAAACCAAAACAAAACAGGTGAGCCCCTAAAGGCAGACCCCGCAGAGGCAGCCCAGCCTCCCCGTACCTCCTTGCAGCCAGCGTTGTCTGCAAGCTCGTAGTTGCTGGCGTGCAGCGGCTGCCCGGCGTTGACGGGGTTCAGGATGACTTTGTCTCCCACGACTACCTGGGGAGGAAAATGGGAAAAGGGGGAGCAAGGATGAGACCGGGCACCCGGTGGGGAAGGAGCCCTGGCAGTGGCACGCACAGGGATTTCTGCACATCTGCATTTAGGGAGCTTTTAGCCCCGCACTCACGTTATCTCCGTTGCTCCTCAGCTTCCAGAAGGGTTGGATGAAGAGCCAGGAGCCCTCATTGCCGGTGGCATCCAGTGTCACCCGCATGGCGTTTTTCTCGAGCAGGGCAGGCAGCCGCTTATTCACCGTCAGGTACTTGTTGCTCTTCATGTGGAGGAGCTGGAAAAGCAAACGCTGGGGTGAGCTGTGGTGGAACAGCCCCCCAGGGTCCCCAGGCTGGGGGGAGCCAGGAGGGATCATAGAATCACAGAAGGGTTTGGATTGGAAGGGACCTTAAAGCCCACCCAGTGCCACCCCCTGCCATGGGCAGGGCCACCTCCCACCAGCCCAGGTTGCCCAAAGCCTCATCCAGCCTGGCCTTGAACCCCTCCAGGGATGGGGCATCCACAGCTTCTCTGGGCACCCTGGGCCACTGCCTCACCCCCCGCACAGGGAAACATTTCTTCCCAATATCTCATCTCCATCTCCCCTCTTTCAGCTTAGAAGGACCCTGCGAGCCCCTTCCCAGCAGGTGCCTGACTCTGTGCATCTCCCCCAGCCCCACCAGCCCAGCGCAGGGTGGGGACAGTGACACCGTACCTGTATGACGCTGCCGTATTTCACCACGTCCCCGTGCACCTTCTTGTTCTCTGTCTCGTTCTGCTTCTGCTCCATCTGGGCCGCATGCTGAACACCAAAAGGAGAAGAGCTGAGTGTAGGAGCATCCTCCTGACCCCCCTCAGAGCTGCACCCCCCAGCTATGGGGAGGACAGGACAGGCTGGGACACAGCACCAGCATCCCTCTGTCCCCCAGACAACAGGGGCCAGAGCTACACCGTGGTCCTCAGCATCCCACAGCTGGCCCTGAGCAGCCGTACGAAGTCCACATGAGCTTTAAATCACAGACTTAAAAATTAGGACAGGGACAAAACGGCACCGAAATTCCCAAAAAACCCCAGCAGGTCTTACGGAGTGGCACCAAAAGGGGTGGCAATGCCCCCATCCCACCCCGCTGCAGCGGGGCCGTGGGGACCAGGGGCTCCTGGCAGCACTAAGACCGAAGAGCAAAAGGTGCCAGTGCTGGTGGTGCTGTGCCTGGAGACGGCTGTAGGTCCAGACCCACAGCGGATGCAGCAGGATGGGTCCCTGCTGGCTGAGATGCCCCAAGAGTGGATTGCTCAGCACCGCTTGCAGCCCCTCTCTGCAAAACCACCAACATTTCCCATGCGGTGGCTCCAGCAATCAAAGGGGTGATATCAATGTATGTGGAGCAAGGCAGGAATTTGCTCCCGTGGCAGGTTCGTCCAGGAATGGCGAGGGTGTGCCAACGGCTCCGGTGCCAGCACAGCCCTGGCAGCACCAGCACAGCCCTGGCAGCACCAGCCCAGCGCTCCCCCACAGCTGGGATGGGGAACAGTGGTGAGGGATGGAGCTGGGGGAGCATCTACCCTCTCCCATCCTGCTTCCACCCCTTTCACTTTTGGGCAGAGGAACTGGGGAACACAGCTGGTATCACAGCTCCACACCTGGGGGTGTGAGCCCCACGGCGGTGGCTGCTGCCATCAGGAAAACAAACCTGCTGCCAAGAAATCCTGCACCGATGCAGAGCCGGTAGTTTAACAACCCCATGGAGCAACTCGGCTCCGGCAAGAGATCCGTGTCCTAAATCTACGTCCAGATCTGAGCTCCTCCCTCGCCGAAAGCCCGTGGGGCCGGCAGGGGGATCCGTCACCCCAAGCACACCAGCCAGCGGGGGCTGATGTTCCCAGCCTGGCTCTGGGATGGGCTGGGGTCTGTCCCCACACCACGGTGGGATGGGGTGTCAGGGATGCTCACGGGGGTGGGCAGCCCGGGAGGCTGCAGGGAGGATGGGGAAACATCACGGCATGTCTGCACGGCGTCTGGCTGCACCTACAATTAGTTAGCTGAGAAAATACCGAGTTTTAAGCCCACTTGAAAACAAGAGCACAAAAAACAAGAGCACCAGCTCAAAAAAGCAACCATGGGCATGGTGGATGGCTGGACAGGGTTTGCTCGAGACCTGGGCTGCTTCTGCTTCAGGAAATGATCTCTGTCGTTTGGAAGAAGTTTTCAGCCTGTGGAGATGCTGATAAACCCCAGCCCGGAGTCCCGAGCCCTGCCAGGACGTCCCGGGGATTCACGGCAGCACGGGCAGCGCTTTGCAGAGCTCCCTCCCTGCCCGCGCTCCCGCGCTCGGCTCCGGATGTGCCGGAGCGTTTGCCAAAAGGGCAACACTGGGAGCAGCGGAAAGGAGCAAGGAAATGAGAGAATCTCTTTTAAGACAAATCTGAAGCAAGGTGCAATCAATCAGGCTCAGAAATGAGCCTCTCTGTCCAGTTGTGGCCAGTCCAGCTGTCGACACTACACGGTGCAGTCCAACCGGAGCAGGAAAACAGCGTTTCTACACACCAGCGACAGCGTATGGCTGGACGAGAGGCACCGATCCTGGCCCCGGCATCTCCGAACCAAGCTGGGACACCCTGTCCAGACACCACATCAGCCCTCGCTCCCCAGAGGCAAAACCGGGGGACCTGTGGGGCCAGGGCTGGGCTTAAAGCCTGCCGAGATGATTTAATGAATCCCTCCTGAGCGTCGGTTTTATGAGTCACCCGTGGGGCCTCGCCAGCTGTCTGAGGCAATTATGCAATGTTTAACATGGGCCTTTTCCAAACCTCATGGAAGTCAACAGGAGCCTTTTGCTCTTCCCCGGCCCTTTGGAGCAGGTCCTGGCTGCGGCACGCCAGGCACCCCTGGGTGCTGCGGGGCTGTGCTCCCGGAGCCCCTCTCCCTGCTCTGCCCCAGGCTCCTCCGCACAAGGAGCATCCAAAGGGCTGGGACAGCAAAGGGCGGGCACGGTGGCGATGGTGGAAAGGCAGGTGGATGTCACCTCTCATCCCAAAAGCAGCGTGGCTACCTTTCCTTCCTCTCCCCACCTGCTTGGTCCCCTCAATCCTTCTCCTGGGACATTTCCTTTGCACTGGGAACAATAAAACCATCCGTGACC